CGATGTCACATGATGATGTCCTGTGAGTCAGCGGCAGTTGGAGTTTGGAAAAAAAACAACCTGAGTGTGAAGTTAGATAGAAGTGAGCTCATCTCTGCTGGAGGCTCCATCAGCTGCTAACAGCATAACACACAGGATTAGCAGTGTGACATTGTGAGAAGTGTAGGCGCCATGTTTGGACAAGAAAAAAGTTGTGTGTGTATAACATGTTTGTCGCCTCTGCTGCATAGACGTGCAAAGCTAAATCAGTGGTGGATTCTTAAGGAAGACGATGCTCCCACAGTGAGCTTTAAGTAACAGAGTGACTGCTGGGAAATTCTGTTAACAGACACAGAGGGTTACTGTGGCTCCAAAGTCAGACCTGAGCAGATCAACGTACTGTAGGTGAGTTCATGTAGCAGAGACTGTGGAGTGTGTGTGTGACACAGTGACTTTGTAAAAACTGTTGAAGGAAACTTTAGTTTGACATAAACCATTAACTGAAGTCAGTGGTTCATTTTATGACAAACACATGATCACAAACCACTTAACAGTGACACTGGCAGGGCAGACACACTTGCACACTGTGAGGTTATGTGTGTGTGTGTGTGTGTGTGTGTGTGTTTGGTTTCAGCCAGGTCTCCCTACTCAACCAGAAAGCTGAATGACAGTCACACACCAAAGAAGGCATAGCTAAATCATTTGTTCCCCACCCCACATGGGCTGCTACATGTATGATACAAAATATAAAATAGAAGAAGACTTTGTAGGTTTGGGTGTGTGGGCCTCATGAATACAGTTTGATCACGTGCTGCTAAAAATATGTGGCATCGCCTTTTCCCAACTTGGCCCCACCCGCTAATGAGGCAAACAAAGAAAAAAACAAATCCCATGTGAAATAACAAACTGTTTTACTGCTATTCACACACAAAATCTGACTTTCAGGACCTTGAGGGGTTAAAATCCACACTTCTATTTTTGTCTTGTGTGGTGCCACTTTCATAGCAGAATAACAAAAATTAAAAGTTGACTGCTACAGGATGTAATGGTGGCTAAACTGGTTTTGAAAAGTGTTGCTCAAATAAAAGTTAGAAATGCAAATGGTATCTACTGGCAGTGTTGGATAAGGGGTGTGTGTGTGTGTGTGTGTGTGTGTGTGTGTGTGTGTGTGTGAGTGACACACTGCAGGAGCAACCTTTTGTCACATTTAGTAGTTTTCTTAATTCAAGTTTGGAGCAGGTTTAATAGCAGATATCCCAGACTGGCACTGCAGAGACTATGAAGTGAAACACGCTACATTTATTTCTCATGTCGGGTGTAAGAATGAATGACGACAGCCTGTGAGCAGGGTTGATTCCGTGTACGACTGTGTCAGCTGTGAACCACACTGGGCCACCAAAGGCCTGTTTCTAATTGAAGCCCATTGTTGGTGCAGTATATTTCTCTGCGCAGGCTGAACTTACAGAGTAGTGCTGGGAAATCAGGTCTGACCAGCACCAGCAGGCTTGTCCACCTCTCCCTCTGTCCTCTGACTCCCTCTGTTTCTATTCTTTCTCTCCTCCCTCCCCCATGCCTCCCTTTTTATTAAATACCAGCTGTTCAGCACTGTGGATGGCTGCAGATCACCCAGTTGGCCCTCTATATTTTCTAATGCGTGTGATTCAGGCTGAGCGTTTGACCCCAGCCGATGATATTTGTCTAGAGGTGATTAACATCTTTTCAAATCTGTCGATGCGCTTCAGGGGGCAGGAAACTGGTGACACAGCCAAGGAGGTTGGACTTTTGCATTAAGGGTGAAATGAAGTTGTTACCCTCCAATAAACCTCACATGCCTGGGGGCAGCAGTGAAGTAGAGGTTGGAGAAATATGGGATTATAAAAGTAAATCAGTCAACTACGGCACAGAAATGTTTCCATGGCATCTTACGCTTCATTTGTGTTTCTGTCTGCCTTTTCAGTAGAGTAGAAAAGCCGGAAAAGTTTAGGTCTGCTTCTCCCTCAGTGACGAGTTGTCCTTGGACAAGGTATTTGACTTCTGATTAGTCAGCAGCTAAAGGCAGAAGCCTGTGGCTGTGCTGAGCATGTGTGAAGGTGTGTAACTGGATGTATGTGGACTGGTGCCCCATGAATTTACATTATAGCACAAGGATAGAAAGTATCTCTGGCCACTGGGAGCTGAACGTTGACCTCATTAGGGAAATGTGTTTTCACTTTCTGCACAAAAACAGAATTAAAGCTGTTCTTCAGCATCGAAGCGTGTTTGTGAAACACAAAGGAAACCAGAAAGCAGAAGTCTGAAAGAGAACAGTGATGAGAGCTGCGCAAGTTTCATGCTAAGCTAACATTAGCCTGTTTTGGGCAGAGGTTCTGCTACATCGGTGTTCATCGTGCACCTTTGTGTATTTACACTGATCTAAAAAAGCCATAATCTCAACTCAACTTTATTTATATAGCGCTTTACCACAGCACAATAATGTCGCCTCTGTGTTCTTTTCACAACGATCCCGACATCCTGGACTCAACATGCTAACAACATGTTAATGATTTTGTTTACAGATTCTGTTTTTTGTCAGTAACATTAAAATTTAAATCCCCCAGCAGCATGTAGGAGAAAAATCAGCACTCCATCAAAACCTCTCACCCCCCACCCCCAAAGCTGTGTGGGGGGGTGAGAGGGGTCAACACTGACCTCCCACCACCTTGGTACCTTTTATACAGAATGGAATGGAGGTGTACTGGCTCAGTAATCCTGCCTGGAGCGGCATTGTAAAAGGGATTATGTGGACTAAGTGCAAACCTAAAGATATGGCTGTGCACGTTTTTTGCTTGGACACGCCACACAGTGACCTCCAAAACATGTCTGTTGTACATGGGCTTTCAATTCAATCATGACAACTCCACTGGACACAGCTGTGTTTAGACATGTTGCGGCAGTGAGAAGTGATGACTCAGTTTATTGATTAACAATAAGTGACTTGTCAGCAATCGTGATAATCAGTACTGTTTAAATCTGTTAACATGTATTCATTATTAAATCGATATTAGTGGCAAAGAGCCGACGTCTGCGATATCCACATGTTGCAAATCCGTACTTTAACAGTGTCAGATTACATAGCCAGGCGAGTTTGGACCTGATCGGCTTTGACACTGGCTGTGAAGTGTCTCACCGTCGAGCTGCAGGGACACAAAGTCAAGTTAATTCAGCTCGGAGTCTGTGATGGGAGCAAACAACGTGGTAGCTTCAGTGACAGATACACTCGCACCCCCTTCTCCTGTAATATCCAGGGCAGGTGTCGAAACTGGCTCGCACTCTAAACCTAAAATAGCAGGAGGGATGTTATATCACGTCGTTTATGTTTGCTCTCACTCATCCCAGTTATTAACGGAGGCACACTGTACACACACTGACCTCACTGACCGCCTGTGTGAAATACAGTGATTTCTTCTTGTTGCTGCATTGGAGGACCTTGTTTGTTAATAATCTGAGTTTATGTAATGATGAACCTCTGTCTGCTGGTATTATTATGCACAAGTTTTTTTTAACCTCAGATGCTCCATTCCTCCCTGAAGTTTTACCCCAAAACCGTTTTAAGACCTGCATCTTAGAATATTGTTTTCTTTTCTGATGTGATGGTTTTCATGGCCACACTGTGGAAATGTTCTTGATGTTTTGTTAATTGTTGTAGCAGCATGTGCATGTGCATAATTGAAGTTATATAGGTTTGCACAGTGTGACTTTAACTTCACCTCTCAGTTGTTTATACTTCCACAGACGTGTAACTCATGTTTAAATTACTAAAATCAAATTGGACCTTGGGGTCTAGATCTAAATTGACAGCTTTCTAAACTGGCTTGTTTTCCATTTTCTCCTTTGTCTCTTTTATTTTCCCACCTGTTGTGCTTTCATCAGTCCGGTCCCTGTGTCGGGGGATGGGAGGATGGAGGGATGGAGTGAAGGACGGATGACAGTGTGGATTAACTGTACTGTGTTGTTGCTACAGTTCACACATTCCAACAGGCTGATTTGGGCCGACTCTCTGTAGGAACACAGAAGCCTCCTTAACCCCCTTCTGTCCTTTCTACTGTCCTGTCACCCCTCCCTCTCTGAGTCTCTGTCCTGCTCCGATGCACCGAAGACACTTCTGCCTCCTTTTTCCCTTCATCTGCATCACATTGACCCTCTGCACACACAGCTGTTGCCAGATGTGAATCCTGTTTCAGAGTTAACACGTTTCCTCTCACTAGTGATGCAGAGTTTCTCTACTGTAGGTCACCTTGTCCTGACCTGTGGCTGTTCCTCTACAGACCAACCAGTGTCATTTCATAAAACACAAAGTCAGGTAACAAGACTGTATCTGTGTTTTATTTAGTAATCATCCAGTCCACTGCTGTGGGTGTGTGTCAGTTAAGTAGTAATTTGATTGACAAAACATGCATCAATTTAAATAGTGGTTTTAGTTATTTTTAAGCAAAATTGGTAGATATTTGCAGGTTCCGGATTCTGAAGTGTCAGGATTTGAGGGTCTTGACTTACACCACCTGATAGTCGAGCTGTAACGATTAGTTGATTAATCTGCAGCTGTTCTGATAATGAATTGATTGTTTGGGTCCTTTTCTTGAGCAAAATCCCAAACATCCACTGGTTGAATGTGCTGAGATGCCATTATTTGCCACTTTTCTTTGTTGTGTCTTCTTGTACACTAAATATTTTGGGGGGTTGGACTGAAACACGGAATCTAAACTGAACTGAAAACCCCTGTCGTTCAATCTTTGATTTTATTATTATACAAACTCAGATATCAGGAGTTTACCCACCGAGGTACTGCCCACATTTCCTCAGTACATTGTTAAGTAGACACTTTGTGCTGCTGCTCATCTTGTCACCAGGTCTGATATTTCACAGACTAACTGAGCAGCTGATTTAGTGTAAACATCATTGACTCACTAATGGAAAAATAGCTGCTTCATTCTCACTTTCCCTGTCACAGTTGTCACTTTCTGTACATCATCTGTTCCTGTTAGGGCCGAGTGGAAGTGGAGGCCGGTAACGAGAACATGAAGTTTGAAACCGGACCTTTCTCCTACTATGGCGTCATGGCGCTCAGTACTCCCACATTGGGTGAGTCCAAAACCTCCATCTTTCTTTTCCTTTCTATTTAAGGGAGCTGAGTAAACACATTAAATCATTATCAATGAATATTAATGCACTATTAATTAATCTACTAAGGCTATGTTAGTGTTTGCTGTGTAATGTCTTGGGTATAGATGCTTCCACTGCCACCTAGTGGTAAGTTGTTAAATAACAATGACTGTGTTGTCTGCGGCATTAAATGTGAATGGCACAGTAGGACGCTGTAAAAGTTTAGTTAAAATGATGAAAACATTTGTGGTAAATAAAGCTTCTTTAGGAGCATACGTTCCTGAAGTTGGTTAATTCTAATGAACTAATAACAACAAGCAGCACAACTGGACAGGGCTCAACCTACTGTGGACAATTTATACTGTCTTCTTTTGTCCACATTCAAAGTGAACCAGACCCAGATATCTCCTGTAGTACGAGAGCAAACAGCAGTATTTGTTTATGTGGCTGCTAAATGTATACAGACTGGCAGTGTCATTTACATGGGTCCTTGCTTTTGCACCACACAGGATTTCTGTTAGCGCTGCTCAGAGTTGGCTGTTAAACAAGTTGTGTTGCATGTATTATCTTTATGCATGTAACAAAACAATAAAAACAATAAGGAATCTTACTGCAAGGCATTTAGACTTCACTTTACTACTGTAGCTGTCACTGATTGATACCTAAAGCAGATGGAACAGCTGCAGATTAAACCGAAGACCCACACACAGACAAAGGCCAACTACAGGTCCGGCAGCGCCATCTAGTTGCCAGTTTAAGACGTTACTGTTTCTTTAAGAAGAACAGTGCAAACTGGCTGTTTTTAAATTTGAGTGAAGTGAATGTGGGTAACGCTCTGTCAGTTATCAGGTGTATCACAGGCGGTAAACTGTATTGAAACACTGACATCATCGGACATAAAACTGTGTGGAATTAGATTTTTGAGTCCATTGCTCCACAGTGACCTGCCATTTTACACACACTAAAGTTCAGATATCTTCATGTATGTTCACAGAAAATAATACAAACATATGCTGTGAAGGACATGGTTTCAGTTCACTGAGGACTTGGGCAGCGCTGCTGTTGGATGGAGGCGGTGGGAAGTGTTATTGTTTCTGAAATTTCTTTTGCTCAGCCCCTTCGAAGTCCTCCATTGCTTCCCTCTCTGTCTCATCCACCATCACTTCCTTCAGTTTTGCTTAGTCCTGTGTCGGTTGTTGGCGTCACTAGCTTGTCTCTGCTGTCCACTCTCTGTCCGCGTCTACCTTTCAAGCTCTGCTTCTTCTGTACTGCTCTGATGCTGGGATCACACCACAACATGTGGCCCGACCTGACAGATGGTGGCTACTGGATGAAAAGACGAATGGTTTCATCCTGGTTAGCAGGGGTCTCCAAGGGTCCAAAGTGGACCCAGTTTCTGCTACAGAAACTAACTTATCTGCACTGGCACTAGGACAGAAACTGTTCCAGAAACTCCTCCAAATGATGCTGATAAATAGAAGCGTGAGCCTATTGATACACATGGTGGTTGGTTTGTTCTCAGCATCTCCTGCTTTTCTTTTTCTCCTGGCCCCCGAACAGCATTCTCTTTCAGGTCGAGAGAGGAGAGATGTGTGAAGCAGCCACTCCTTCATTTTCATGCTTCTGTTTCATTACCCACCTGTTTTATGGAACTTGTGATCATTCAAACTTTTAGAAGCAGCTCAGTGACGAGAACAACCTGAAACGTTCACTTCACCTTCACACAGTGTAATCGATGTGATGCGAGTTTCTATGGTGTTCTGCATGTCCTCGCCCACTCTGGATGCAGGTGTGTCTCTGTCTGTCACTGACTGTCCCTCCCCCCCCCCCCCCCCCCTTTCCTCTCAGTGGGTGCACCTCGTCCTCACCGTTTTTCCTTAAAGAGGTTTTCTCTGTTCTCTCGGTTGTCAGGTAAACTTCGGCATGTCTGGGTCCTTTAACACCAAGGATGGGCGGGGGCTCTGGGGTGGGCATGTGGGGCTTGAGCGGGTGGACCTGGCTCCTGATTCATCAGATGTGAAAATTTAGGCTTATAAATCTGTTAAAGGGTAAATTAGCACCCGATCACAGAGGGAAGAAACTCCTGCACAGCTTTTATGGGCTGCAGCAGTGAATTATGGGTTGCACCTTTTGGCTATCAAAATATTTTGTCATGTCACTGGTTGTGTTGTGGCTAAAGGTGCAACACGTTCACCCCCCAGACACACGTGCAGCTGCAGTTTTCCTTCTCCATGTGATTCAGTGTAGAGTTGCTCTTCAAGGACAGAGCAGAGTCCCAAGACGACTCTCTGTCCGCGTCTACCTTTCAAGCTCTGCAGCTTTTTTGGCAAATAAGCTCTTTGTCACCAAGGCGACTTCATTTACACCTGGTTTAATTCACTGTTTTGTTTTTGCAGAGCAGGTGCTACTGTAAATCCATTACATTTAACATACTTTATATGTTTGAAACATCAGAATAAACCCTGGTAGAGTAGGTGTAATCAAGAAGAAGATTAAATAGTAGATTAGTGTGTTTGTGGGAGAAGTGAAGATTTGACTCCGGTGTCCTGAATTAATGAAACATTCAGTGTGTGTTTTGAGGATGCAGAGGAAGAAGAGCTGTGCAGGTGGATGGCAGCACTAACCTTTGTACACCACAGTAGGAGGAGATGCACAGGGAGCATAAGTACAGAGGAGACACAGAGGTGAAACAGGCGCCGGGTCTTTGGTTCTTGCACAGCGATGATGTTGATCAAAGAGTTTATCTGACAAAATGCCAGCACAGGTGCTAAATGACAGAGCACCTGGGACAGATGAATGATCAACACCTCAAAGATAAAATGGAGAAGGGTGGGACAACATCACGAGACATCCAGACTCAAAGCCCCTCCAGGAGTTAAGCTGTTTGATCTTTTTAGCATCAAGTTTGGATGCATCCTAATGGCTTCAGATGATTCTTCTTCTGTTTTACAGAAGCATTTAGGCAGAAGTTCTCTGCAACATGTTTTTGTTATTGTTGTCCTATCGCTCACTATAGATATAGTATAGTGAATAACCCCTAGTTGTGAATAGACTAAAGAATATTAACTGCTCAAATAGAGTGTAGTCTTTTTAGTTTTTAAAAAGTCATTAAACCTGCAGCCAGCATCTTTGCTCTGTTGTGTGGAACTGTGTCCTGTCAGTCATCCACCTTAATTTTAAAAACACTAACTCGCCCTGTGAGCACTGGGCCACATGTACAGCTTTGGTTGCTCTAAAACCTTCTCTGATTATTCTGCTTAAAGATCCAGTAGACGACCTGTGTATAAAGTTTAACACTAAAATTGTAGTAAAGACGGGGGGGGGGCTTGTTTAAGAGAGAAAATTTAATATCTTTGCCTCCCTGTTTTAGCATTATATAAACATTATATAAACATTTAATAAATGGGTTATAACATAGCAATATAGTAAAACACACATCAAATATTTCCTAACAGGAATAGTTATAATACTTAGCACTGTACATCGGTAAAGGCTTAAAATGGCCCTAAATCTGCTTACAGCCACAGTGTAGTGTTGTAAACATTGTTTCATGATAGTATGTTTTGAAACCTAATTGTCCATCCACTTTTATAACAGTCAACCTGAAATATGCATTTTTAATATTGAAATATTGTACGAGATTAGTTTCTCTGTAGCCCATCGCGCTCACAGAAGTGTGTCTGAATAACTGTTATTTGACATTTGGCTAAAGTTATAAGTAAAAGCATCCACGACATCATGCTTTTTTTTTACAGAAAGTAAACAACCCTGAACTCTCTGCTTTCTGAATGATGTAGCCTAGTCAGCAAGTTGCCTTCTGACTTTGTACTGCAAATAATCAGGTTTTGCAGAGGCAGTGGTTACCTCATTTATCTTATTAAAATTTGCATATAAAGGGGACTGTCGCATGAGTCACAAGTCCTGAGTGGTTTATTTCCGCATAGTTTTTAACTAGTTGGCCTAAATAAAACAAGTTCCCTACTGGATCTTTAAAGTGAAATGACAGTTGCTTAATGACTAAGTGAAATCTAACCACTAACTAGACAATCAGTTGTAGATGTGTAGGATTAACTAGCTAGCATTATTCCTTGGAAGCTAATTCAGTTGACATGTCCAGGTAAAACGGTTTCCTATGACTCACTGAGGCCCCCTGGTGGAAGACGCGCATTTACTGGTAATGACCTGCAGCTGGAAACAACACTGTGTGTGTGTGTGTGTGTGTTTGTGACACATTTGAGTATGGTTTTGTTTGGATGAAATCAGCATGAAAATAAAAACTAAACATGATTCTTATCTGTTGTTGGAGCAGAGGTGGAAAATACTGAGAGTTAAATGAGGTCTTTTTATTAGTGTTATCAAGAAGAACTGCCAGCTCATTAGATTAACTCATTAGTTTTCTTCCTTCAAAATGAAAACAAAGTGGAATAGGTTTTCATATTTGGCTTTATAGTTTTTCTCTATCGCTTTCATTCATTTCTCACAACAGAACTGCATTTCTCAGAACTACTTGTTCAACCGTCAGATTCTGTTGTCAGTTTTTCACATCATATCAGCAATTTCTTGTTGTTTTCATCATATTGCAATTGCTTTTGGACAACATGCAAATGGTTCTGTACATCTGTCAGCTGTTTTTGACAATTCTTGTTGCTTTTGTCCAGCTGTGCAAAATAACTTGTCCTGGTTCTCAGCTGAAATGTCACAACCACCAAACCAATTAGTCTTTTTTTCAGGTTGGAAGTCTGTACTATCAAAATGAGTGAACATGTTCTCAGAATTGCATGTCTGTACAGATTTCTGCAAAGTGTGAGTAGATGTTTGCTAAGAAATATGTCCAGAAATGAGAAATTGCTCTCAGGTGAGTCTTCTCCTTTGTTAATGAAGAGAACCACCTCACAACTTCATATACTTGAATGAGGCTGGCTTCAACCTGGCCAAAGGCAGAAGGCGTGGTAGAAATCTAATCGACCAGAGAGCTACTGTTGATGTCCCAGGCCAACGGGGAGGAAACATCACTATGTGTGCTGCTATGTCAGACCAAGGTGTGCTAGCTCATATTCCTATTATGGGACCGTACAACACACAGCATCTCCTTACATTCTTAGACAATCTCTATAGAAATGTCATTCCTGAAGAGGAGAGGGACCTCAATCAAGATGATGTACCAAAGTATGTAGTAATTGCTGCCATGGATGCAGCATGTGAGGACATCTCAGCAGATGCATGCAGAGGCTGGATTAGGCACTCAAGAAGATTCTTTCCACGGTGCATAGCAAGAGAAAATATATGTTGTGATGTGGATGAGAATCTGTGGCCCAACAGACAGGACCGACATGACGCATAGGAAAACTGCCACGTAATCTCACCTTTACCTTCTGTTGTACATGTATAGTTCTTCCCACTTTGTCTTTTTTACAGTATGTTTCCATTGCTAGGTAAATAGACTATGTATAGTTTCCTTTGTTGTCTGTATGTAAGTACCACTATTGACAGTACAGTAGAAATGTGAGTACAGTCTGATCTTTTGTTTCGATTCTTCCATATACTGTAACGTGGGGCGATGGTGATTGGTTAGATGAGGTTAGATGGAATCATTCAGAAAATTATCTATTCTTACCATGTAAATTACTGTAACACCTGGTTGATGCACAATGGTTTGCAAGAATCACTTCTTTTTTTTACCGGAGGGACACTGTAAATTATGACACACACCAGTACGGTAATTTAGTGGTTTCTAGTCATCAAAACCTGAGTTGAGTATAGTTTACAGTAAATAACAAAAACTGAGTATGATGTTCTACTGACAACATGACTAATAATTTTGCCTGTCACGTTCACATTGTTGAGGAAATGACATGGGATTCTGCTGCCTCTGACACAATGATTGATGAAAAAACACACTTTTGCACGATAGACAAAGCATTTTGAGCAGGTGACGCGCTTTTTCCGGTTATCCACTATGTTGTGCAGTTTGTACATGTTGTTTTGAGAAATGCACTTGGAGATCTGCAAACTTCAATTCTGTTGTGAGAAATGAATGAAAGCGATAGAGAAACACGGTAACACATGGTCCCCTGGTGAACCCGTATCTTTAAGGTGTCAGTCGTGTGCTCTAAGAGCTGCTTTTTGACAGTTTACTCCTCTGTAACTGTTGTCACTTGAAAAATGTGGTCATGGACAAAATAAATTAAGCGATCCTGCCATAATTCAAATCAGTAGAAGTTGCTTTTGAGGGGTTACTGTACTGAATAATGTCTCCACCTCTGCTGATAAGACGGGTATTAGTCTGAATCCTGCAGTGCCCAAAATCCACTCACAATACTTTCCTCTATGTGAAAATGTCGAGGAGGTTAGTGTAAGGCACCTTTGTAGACACAAAATGAGTCACTGCTTGTTTGTGTGTCACTGACTTTGTGTGTGAGAGAGAAACAATTTTGGTGCTGTCATAGTGAATAGGGTACGTACACTACAAATGGTCATGGGTTTGTGCTTTGCATGGATGATATAACTCAACATTAACTCTTTTTAAAGCCCCTGTGTGGCATGCTCTCACAAGAGATTCATTTAATGTTTGTTTAGGTGGCGCCATGGTAGTTTTTCTGCATTTATAATACATTGTGTGTTACTTTAGTGTTATTTATTCATCATTAGCCTGCATTTGAGCCTACACTGCAGCTTGTGCACTTGATATCTTCTACTGATCATAGAGCCACTAAGTTCATGAGCTGTTTGGTTACAGCAGTGTGAAACCCACGACCCAGCTTTCAGTAGTTCCTGTTCTCGGTATGTGCAGGACGGCTTTTTAGAGCTCTGTCACACCATTCTGTTTTTTTTAACTGCTAACAGGAGCTGTTTAATAACTTTTGCTGTTTGTAGAGTTTCGTTCACCGTCCCACCTCAGCGGGTTGAACCGAACAACGTCTCTGAGTGGAGCAGATCGGACAGAGTCCGCCAGCGGCAGCAGCAGCCAGCTCAACAACAGCATCCCGCTGCAGCAGTACATACCCGACTTCTGCGTCCGAGCTCTCAGCGACCTGCAGTTTGCAAAGGTTGGTTAGAAATGTTCATCTTGACAGAACTAGTCCTACAGGGGGCATCAGACACACTCCAAAATGTGACGACATGTATGTCAGTGTTGTGATCGCAGCCTGTTTCCACTGCCCCCCCAAGTGGCCAAAAGGCTTAAAGTGGCTTAAAGGTGCAGTGTGTAAGATTTAGTGACATTTAGCAGTGAGGGTGCAGATTGCAGTGTTCAGCAAAGCTCTGAGTGAGAATCCAAATGCAGTATCTGTGAGAACTTTGACTGATCCTGCCCCCTGCCAGAACATTTATGGTCCCCTCACCTGCTTTTCACACCTCTCTTCTCTTACCACCTTTTTTATCTCAACATAAAGTTGTAACTAGTGATTTACAATAGGTAGGGCCTCTCCTTGGGAACACCCGAGGTAAATCGCACAATGGCTGCAAATGAGGCGACGCAGGCCTCCACGTTGGGGGCCGCGCTGATGTAGGTATAAAAGGCTCAATCTGAGCGAAATGAAACTCAACAATTCTTATTTTCTGGTGATTACACATTAATGAAAACATTGTTACGCACACTACAACCCTTTAAATCCTTCTAGATCGTACACACTGCACCTTTAAAGGACAATTTCCTTCCAGCTGTTTAACCCTTACGGTTCTGATCTTTCTCCCTCTTCATCTCCTTCAGATTACTCGGGCCCAGTACCAGAATGGGTTCATGGCGTCTCGTCTGGACAGCACGCCTCAGTCACCAGAGAGTGGCCACAACACAGTTCACCTGGATCACACTGCTCCCCCCACCACCCCCACCACTATCACAGAAGTGGGCGCTGACTCCGCCCTGGCGGAGAACGGGCCCAACGAGACAACGTTTCTCCTCCTCAACGAGCAGAACTCGCCACACACAGCAAACCACCACAGCCAGCTGGAAAACAGCATATGACACACACCCCCCGCCGAGGAGAGGAAGGGTGTGTGTGTGTTTGTGAGCGGGAAAGCAGACGCATGCCCCGGCACAGCTGAGGAGGCCCAGAGAGACGAGCCATGTGCATGCATACTGTGTAAATATGCAAGAATGAAACGCGCACGCCAGCATACCAAAGTGTATTGTGGGAGCTTGCCTCATGAACCTCTCCATAACAAACAGACTCACTACAGACCCATCACTCATCTAGTTCTTTGCAAGCACAGATTATATGTACCTACATGCTTGTGTGTGCACACATGCTCCTTATGTATTAACTGAAGGACCTGTTTGTCTGGACCAGGAAGCTCCTCTTTCGCCTCACAACGTTATCTTCGATTAGCGAGTTTCTTCCTATACGTGTGTGGATGTTTTTAAATGTGTGTGTAATGCTTCCAATTCACGGTCCCTAATCAGAGACTCAGGGAGACTCCGCCCTCCTCCCCACCCCCGACATACATGCAATTGTGGTCGAAACCCGCCGCCATATGTGTAGCAACCCGCCTCCCCCCTCCACGGCGTCCGTACAGCTAGAAGACAAAGACGACTCGTTCATGTCAGCGGAGTTCAAACAAAGTGACATATGTTCTGTAAAACTATCAGTGAGATATTTATTGATCAATTTTTTGAGACAGACACACGAGACTCCTACTGAGTCTTTTTTTATTCCTTCCTTTTTCTGCATAGATGCAGCCTTTATCCTAGAGCTGTTAAGAGATTCAGCACTGAGCGAGCACCAGTCTGTATCATAGTAAAGACAATCTTATGTTAGTTCAAACATATAGGGTACGTTAAATATGGCAGCCCTGCTCTCGGACAACCTCCTCTCTGTGAAACCTTCAGTTTTCTTCCTCGTGCCTAGATGACAGATCTGAGAAGACGCCATGGCTGGTTTCAGAGAAATCCGGCCACGTAGGAATCAGTTCTCACAGAGGTGAAGATGTTAGAGAGCACTGAGCGAGTCCTTTCCTGCTTTATAAGAGAGAGTGTGTTTATGCTTTTGTGTGTGTATTTGACCAAAATGGCGAGCACCAGACTTGATGGGAACAGAAACCAAAACAGGGAAGCCCTCCGTCACCTCCTAACTAGAAAATACTTTCAGAAATTGAAGAATTTATTTATTCAGTTTAATGTTTATGTGTGTATATATTTTTGTTGATCAATTAGGGCAAGAAATGTGTTTTTAATTTGCGTCTGTGTGATCTTATGTTAAATGTTTCTGTGCAGGCTGTGTTTGGGTTCCCTTTTTTCAGGGGGTCACTCCATCTTAATGAACAGCAACTTGAACATTTATCGTTCGTATTTCGGAAGCCAAACACAGCTCAGACCTGACATCGGTCAGATTTTACCAGTTTTATGGGAAGATAAAGTCTGTTTCATGATTAGCACCATGCATGTTTTTCTAAGAACTGCACACACTCCAGTTTGATTTTAGTGAACCTTCTGGGGACATGTGAAAGGAGAACTCTGTCCCCTAACTATTATGTTTCTGTTTGATTCGTAGCACGGCCACAATAACCACTCACAGTGATCTACAACATGAAAACTTGTACATTTTTAGATTTTTAAAATCAAAGAGCAAGTCTTGCTTTGCGGTCTTGTTATTTTTGTGAAGATGTTCAGTGTTAACGCAGCAAAACATCCAGGGTCAAGATTGATTTCGTACTAATACGACACTACTATTGATACTACATACTGTTTACCACAGTGCAGCACAGCCTCACAAAGCGTTTCATCTTTCATACATTGCTCACGTTTTTTTCTCATCTTTGTTGCTCTGGTGTCAGTATCTATAAATCACAGGTGAATTATCGAGCCCCTATGTGCTCTATAAATGTTTTAAAAATGGATTCTGGGAAATTTTGGATATCAGGAATAAGCACTTCTCCTTTTTTCTTTTCAACAGCAAATATTCAAACAAGGCTGCGGCCCTCTGGTCCCGACAGAGGTTCATTTCCATTGTCAGTGTGACACCAGAAGTGACAAAATGGTTTCTGTTTTTGAATGAATGTTCAAACATTTAGTTTGAATTCTGTGGAATGTCACAAGTGTTGGTGAAAATTCACTGTCACATGACAATATTTTTTTTTTGTTTTCAAAACCATACATTTTAGCTTTTTCCTGTTAAATTTACACATAGCATTTGAAGTAAGCAGTCAAAAAAAGTAGACATATTTAATTGTCCTTTTAAGTCATTATTTATTATTATTATTTGAGATGAATTTGTGATAAGATAAAGACTAACTAGATAAATAGTTTGATGGGCTGCTGCATCATGGGTCTGAGCTGTGCTCCTCTTTTGTCTTTTCAACAGTAAACCAATAATTCAAGTTGCTTTTATTTGAGCTGAATATTTTTCTGTTTAACAAAGAGGTTTATTTTGCATCCAGCTGTTCAAGTCATGGTCAGTAAATTTAACTTAAATGTTTCAGGCTCTTTCAGAGGGCAGGAGAGTTTATGAGCTTGTGTCGCAGCGTGGTGTAGCACAGGAGCCTTACACTGACTAAAAAAAACACCCGAGTTTGAGTCTGGTGTCTTTTTCCAGTGACGTGTCTGTATTCATACGTTCTTAAGGTTATTTGAAATCGGCTTTGCTGGTTAGTAAAGTATGAGCATTGCATCATTTTGAGATAAATGGACATGTATTTTGTTAACATTTGAAAACAACAGCGTCTGAGACTGCATGCTAACAGCTAACCCCATCTTTAACAGCTGCTATGCTACCCTGGCAATTTTTTTTTGTGTGTGATCTCACATGTTTTCCTTGGACCAAACTAAGGTTAAATCCAGGATTTCCTGTAGCTATGAGAGACCTTGGCTAAATTCTGGATATAAACGTTGGTTTTGCCTTGGAGGAAATATTGCAGAATATGTGTCAGACATAAAAAAAAATGCCTTTGAAGTAGACACTGTGTCTGTAGAAAACGCTAGTTATTCTTTTGAAAAAGAAGAAATCCTTTACAGAAAAATCCCAGTAATAGCGACACGTGACAAAGACGGCTTTATTTTGAAAGGTATGTACAGTGTACTCCACCCATGATGTTTAGCCCTTCTCCATGCAGCTTCTGAGAATTTCTTTGCATCTGAGAAATGTGTTTTTTTTTTGTTTGTTTGTTTTCTTTTGTTTTTCTTTTACCAAGAACACACCGTTGTTAAGTTAAAACAGCCTGGACTCTTCTGTGATTGAAAATAAAAGCACTTTAGTAAGGAAGGCAGTATTTTTTTTCCAAAAGCCACATTTGCCAAAGTTGTTGGCCCAGTAGCTGTTTCACAATACTGTTACTGACCAAGATTTTGTAACGACCGCTTCGCTGGCTTCTTAAAGTGACTTTTTTTTTCTTTTTTTTTTAAATTTCACTGTACAAAAACAAATGAGCTTTTGCTGTTCAGTCCTGAGTTATTTTTGGCAAACACACACTCCCATTTCAAGAAGTTTTTGCTCGGTTTATTTCATTTTATGACTGGGACTGACGTTTTTGTCTGTGGTTGTGCAACCCCCGACTTCTTTAAAGTGTACAAAGGGTTTGAGTGGCATGCATCAAGTCTGGTTATTTGTTTGTACCTCAGAAACACTGTCATTAATTGTGGTAAACAAGTCTTTTGTTATTTTTTATTTGCCATTAATTTAATTTGGGAACAGAGCGAGTGGAGCAACTGGCGTTCGAGGAAGAATAAAGTGAATGTCCCTCCTTCTCTCTGGCATGCTTTCACTTAAAAACCAGAGAAACAAACTACTGTTTTATAATTTGTCTTAAAGAGTTTTGAAGATGAAGAAAGTTATTAATAAAACTGAGATATATTTATCTGTTGACCTTTGTGATTGTCCTGTTTCCCCAGCGACCTCTCTGGGAGCTACATGGGCATATTTATATAGTTTACATTTACTCCAGTACTGCATTTTGAGGTAATTGTACTTTACTTGAGTACTTAAGTTTGTTTCTTTACACTTTAGACTGCACTACATTACATTACACTTTTTACTCTACTACATTTATTTGACAGCTGTAATATTTTTGAGTATGTACCTGTAATTTCTAGGAGACACAGGAGCACTAACGTGACACGGACTCATCTCGTCACACAGGTTGTTTATTAAATTAAATAGCAGATATGATGTGAGCCCAAACCTTAACCATAGTTTGTAGTTCTGACTTGCATCTCCCCGACTCGGCACACACATTGTAATATGCAGCGGTTCTGCACATTTTCAGGGATGTGCTTGTGAAACATTTAGATTTGCTCAGAATTATAAAAGAAAAATGAGGAGCAATCTTGAAGATGCTGCTTGTGGGAAAACAAATGGTTATTTATGTGCCAGGACCTGAAAATAGGAGCACTTAGAAGCTACATTTTAAAAAGAATTTTAGCAACTGATTTAAAGTAAAGGAAAAATACAAAATCTTCATTAAACAATTTGAAGTCAAAGAAAATATTCAGATATATATTTTCATCTGTCAGCTTTTCGTTGGATTTTCAGGCCTCTACAATGCTATTGATGATCTTAATGTCTTTAAACATCTTACTTTAACATACAGTATATTTCAGTTTTACATTTTTTCTCTGCTGAATGATATAAATTTATGATAATGTTTCCGCCCTGTTGAAGAGTCGGTGAGGTCGACAACATTTTTTTACTGAAATCTTTTTTTTTTTTTTTTACTCCTTTGCTCCACCTAAGAGCGCCTGAAGTATTTCTTTTGTTTTTCAGTTTTTTTATGGCTTAACTTCAAGAGCAGCTTAAGGCTTTCTGGATTTATTGTGAGTTTTGGATTTAGCACAAGGCCTTTTTTCTCTTTTTGCATCAATGATAAAGAACTCATTTGTATTTTTCCTTTGCTTTTCCTTGTTTGAGTGTAACATGAAGCAGTATGTGTTAACCTGGGAGCCAACAAACTCCGGTCATATAATCAGTCTATCTTTAAATCTTTTATTGCTGCCAGCTTGATAGGTTTGTAATTGTGAACTGGGAGTGGACGAGGAAGTGAGAATGAGCAGTCAGGGGAGTTGCGCTGAATTTTGACCCTGAGAAATTCCAGGCTGTCCTTTTTATATCAGTGGGAATTTTGATTGTTAGCAGACTGGTTGTGCAGAATGGATCAAACAGGTAGTGGAAGAAAAAGACAATGTAGATGATCTGGGGTGTGTGTGTAGGCTGCAATGCAACAATCACACCAAACGTGATAAAAGTGGCTGTAAATTAGGGCAATGGTGCCAGGAGACGGAGAAAAGCAGTACATAGTCTCATATGGTGCTTTTCTGTGCATTGAAGCACACTCAAAGTGCCTTCACACTCTTTGCCCATTCGCCCGTGGACGGCCAGTGGGAGCAACTTGGGGTTCACTGTCTTAGTCAAGGACGCTTTGATATGTGGACTGGAGAACCCCTCCCCCCGGTTAGGAGGGGACCCACTGTACCTCAGCCACCCCCACTCCTCAATAAGAATTTGGCTAAGTGTGTTTTTATCACAAAGTTTATTCACTGAACATCACTACATTGTTGTTAGATGGCGTTTCATCAGGATCTTTTTTTTTTTTACTGTGATGCAAATTCAAATCAAACATTCATGTACTCTAAGCTCATATTTATCAAACTGCAAAGAGTTGAATGTTGTACTTATTTTTGTTTCAACTCGATGTGAGGACAATGTAAAACAAAAACCCTATGTTGCAGTTAAAGGTGTAAATTTTAGAACCATTAGTATATGAGGGTGGAGGATTCTCTGGGTCTTAGACTATTATTGACATTTGAACATTTGAAAGGATGGGACACCACTTTTCTATTAAGTATCATGGATGCAAACAGGCAATAAATATAAAACAGTTACATTGATTTTATTTGCAATCACTAAGTACCTAAAGTATCTGCAGTATTATTGTCCTGAGCCACAGCATAATGTCTTGTGTGCATCCTATGTGTGTGTGTGTGTGTGTGTGTGTGTGTGTGTACTCTGTCCTCCTGCTTTGTGGTGGGGAGGAGGTCATAAGGCCCAGGCGTGTTTGGCTTCATGTCTTCCCATATACATGTTTACATTCTATCTATAATCTTATCATCCTTGTTAACAAACTGTACAATAACATACTTCAGAGCGCTTGGCTGTGGTCATTAATTGTTATATATTTTCTTTACTCATTTATTTTGTTTTTGTATGTAAAGTTTACTCTTTAAATTGGTACTGTAAAATGGTATCATGTAATTCAGCCACATCTTTTGGTTTAATGTGACATTTTCTGAGGTGTAACTTTGGCTAAAATTGTAAAGATTCTGGATCCTGCCACCATTTAACTCATAATAAAATTAAAGAGGTGTAAAATTATCACTGTATTATCCCATCACAGTGATTTTTGCTTTCAGGAGGTGTCACACTAAACATATGATTTGAGTTGTGCCACAGCAGTAAAACTACAAAATTGTGAGCAACTTTGTGATTTAGAATTTAGCAAAGATAACAACACGTATATTTGTAATTTTCGTAACTCCACTTTGTGTTTGCTCACGTCCTCAATTGTAATGAAAATCACTCTCAATGGAATGTGAAAGTACTGTTCCAACACGGAAAAGAAGCCATTACTCAGCAGCAATTAAAGGAAGATGATATAAGTGCAGTTTCAACACACCCTCCAGTTGCCTTTGTTCTCTGAGCTCTTCCATTGACGTAATGCATTCCTGAGCTCCCTTTACCTTAACTTAAATGTAATACTAACCTGTACCCTGAAACCAAGCCTTAACCAAAACTGTTAGAAGCTGAGGACTGACCAAAAATGTCCTCACTTTCCTTAAACGTCCTTCCTCCTGTTGTGTAAAACTCAAACTTGTACACACACACACACACACACACACACACACACACACACACACACACACACACACACACACTTCAGACAAATCAAGTCTTTCCATTGCTTCTCTTGTGGCTGATCAGGCTGCGTCGAACAATCGGGCACAGTCCTGATGATCCAGCTGTTTTCCTAATGCATGTCCCAAAGATAAGTTGCATTTTAGGTGATGTTCTAACTAATTATCTGTGTTTCAGTTTTTCCTACTGGAAAGTTATCTTAATTAATTATTGCTGTCATTTTCCTTGAGATGTGTCTATCTCTGACAAATGGAATCGATTGGATGCTGCTATAAAATGAGTGCAGACACACTTATAAACATAAAAGAAAGATAGTTTATGCTTGTCTAATTTTTCAGATAGTGTATACTTTGATCATTGTGTTCTTTTTAGATTCTGTATGAAATGAGCTCAGTATATAATATAAATAAGAGCATAAACAGCAGATTACAGCAGCCCATTCCCCGTCCAGACAGTGTGACTCCCCATCATTAGCACAGGTTGAATTCGGTCTGGATGATGTAATATCTGTCTGCATCACGGCACGGAAGTGAAGAAATATCAGATTCAGCCGCTGTTTCCTAACTCTAAACAGTAAGCAAGTCTGCTCTTGCTCATGGAATTTTTCTCACATCAAAACAACCACCAAACCGCAAAGAACCTTTTGAAAGATGTGAACAAATGAGGAACTAGCAGGCAAGAAAATTTTGCATTTCATATAATGAGCTTTTATTGATTTATGTGCGTTTTGGGAATTTCTCAGGGATGAGGCAGCTTCTTAGTCAGCTGTGATTAATACAAATATGTATAAATAAATATGTTTCTATAACAAGGTTTCTGCTCTGAATATCACTATATTGTTATTCAATGACATCCTCAACAGAGGAGGTTTTATCAGGTTCTCAAATGTTTTACCATGATGCAAATTCAAATCAAACATTCACGTAGTCCAGGCTCATATTTGTCAAACTACAAAGAGTAACATTTTGTACTTAAGTGAAAGATTAAAGTTAAAATCCCTCAGTATTACTCTCATCAGTGTAAATGTCTTTTGGCTTAAAAATGCTCTTAAATGTAAGAGGTTTCTTAAGTTTTTTAGCACAAAGCCTAGATTACTACTACTACTAATAATAATAATAATGAACATATGCATGAAGATCAAAATATATAACCTGAAAGTATCCAAAAGTTGTTTAAAGTCAACATGACCTGAGAGAAATGTACATGTTTAAACAAAGACAAAATCACCAGTGTAAAACAAAAACCCCTTAACTGCAGCTAAAGGTGTAAATTTATGGAACAGGGTTTGAAAACATGTAACAAACCTAGTAAGTATGAAAAGTAATTTATTGGACTTGTATAAAATATATGATGAGGAAGACAAGTTAGCTTTAGTATGAGAGGGTAACGCACACCCCAGGTTTATTAGCTCCTGACATCCAGTAGGACGTGTTTCATATGAAGAGTTGTACAATATGCTGCGGCTCCAGCCTGCATCCTTTCAGACATTTACTTTATGTTGTTCATCTTTTTTATATACAGTAGTTTCTTACGTCTCTCTGGCAGGTAGTAAAATTTGGACACACTTTTTTACTCCACTATAAGAGAGAGAGAGAGATTGTTTCCATTAATGTTTTTAATATATGACTGACTGATGTTATCTGAAGACAAAAAAGAAAATTATTATAATTAGCCTATTATTAATGCTATGGATGAGAAGAAATACACAATGGGAATATTTATTGACCTAAAAAAAGCATTTGACACAATCAATCATGAGTTATTAATGGATAAGTTAGAAAAATATGGGATCAGAGGAATGGTTTTGAATTGGATTAGAAGTTATTTGACACAGAGGCGTCAATTTGTGAAGTTGGGTGAATACCAATCGAGTGAGCTGGA